GTTCAAGGTCAGCCTGGTATGTGGGGTGAGTTCCAGGACAGCAAGGGCTGAGAAACCCTGTCTCTAAAAACAAAACAAAACCAAACAAACAAAAACAAAAAAAAAGTCAGGCAATGATTTAAGTTTGATTGTGCCTACAGTAACAGAGTGGAGTGAATTACACTGCCCCCCCCCCCCAACATTCATGGACTCTTTGACAGAAAAATCCTGTTAACTGGATCCCCGTGACCTTGAGGTCTGTGTTAGTAGCTCCCTTCAAGGAAGGATTTGTGCACTCTGGATGCTTCTGTTTTCCCTTGTTTACCATTAGGATATTTCCTTTTCCATGGGGATTTTCTGGAAAAGCCACACAACCACTTCAGAAAACCATCCTGTTGTTGAATGACAGGGATAACTTCTGCTTGTTGGCAGTCAGAGCAACTGTTATCCATCTGTGAAGAGAGGGCGCTAGGCCACTCAGTTGGCCAAGGCCAAAGGGAAAGTCCAGGCACCTCTGATAATGCCAGAGCTACAGCACAAGGCCTTGCAGAGAGCTGCCGATCAGGCAGAGCTCCATGGAGGGCTTGCTGGAGCTACACAGGGGAAAGAAAGGTGCTCTGTGGGGTGAGGGACAGAGGAAGCTATAAAATTCTGCATCCTGCCAGCCCTGCCTTTCCAGGTCGCTTCCAAAAGACACATATACTAGGCAATCTAGTGATCTTTGGCATCTGATAATCTTTCAAGGTGCACAGGGAGGGACTCCAGGTAGAATATGGACCTAGCTCTCAGCAATCTCCCTAGTACCTTCAAGGCGGGCTGGGCTCATGAAAATGAAATCAAAATACAAGCTAGGAGTGATCATTCCTATCTGTGATGCCAACACTCCGGAGTGAAGGCACGAGGACAATGGTGAGGTCAAGACCAGCAGGGCCTGTCTCAAAAAGAAAAATGTTAAAATTCATAACAAGAAAAGGCAGAGTTTGGTGGTGGCTCATGCCTTTAATGCCAGCACTTGGGAGGCAGAGGCAGGCAGATCTCTGTGAGTTCAAGGGCAGTCTGGTCTACCTAGAGAGTTTCTGGGTAGTTGAAATTCCACAGCGAGACTCTACCTCAAAACAAACACTATAAATAAATAATAAAGGCAAGGAAAAAAAAATAAAGCAACAACAACCCAGAAATCACAGCTATAAGCCATTGTTCTGATCGGATAAACACAGGCAGGTAAGAGTACCTGAGGTTTCTGAACTTCTAATGCATTCACACCTTATAAATGCTGCCAATAGATCCATCCTGTGTGTTGGTGGGGCTAATGCCTGTGTGCCATTCTGTATTCCGAGACACAGCCTATGTGTTTCTGAACTTGGCACTCTGCTCTATAGATTCCTTAGTGAAAACTGTTTGCTATGAGCTGAAGGCCAGCCTGGTCTACAAAGAGAATTCCAGGACAGCCAGGACCATTATACAGAGAAATCCTGTCTTGAAACCACACCCCCCTCCCCTCAAAAAAAGATCCAGCTCCTTAGCAAGTCCAGTAGCTTGGAAAGTTTGATCTGTTGCTTCACTGCTTCAATGGCCTACCCCTAAATATGGTGTCCCCTCCTGTCTCCAGGTCATTTGTTCTCCTTAGGAGCAGTCAGGACGGCAGCCGCTCTGACATCTGGCTGCATTTACTCTACACTTTAAACGTTGCTTTAGTGGGGGTGGTGGCTAGGAAATGGCTCACTCGGGCAAAGTACTTGCTGTGCAAGCATGAGGTCCTGAGTTCGGATCCTCAGCGCCCACATAAAAGCGGGCAATTACTTGGGGGGCGGCGGTGGCACACACCTATAATCCCAGCACTCAGGGGGCAGAGGCAGGTGGATCTCTGTGAGTTCAAGGCCAACCTGGTCTACAAGAGCTAGTTACAGAACAACCAGGACCCTTTACCTCAAAAAGCAAGAAAGCAAGCAAGAAAGAAAGGACAAAGAAAGAAAAGACAAAGGAAGAAAAGACAAAGAAAGAAAAGACAAAGAAAGAAACAATGAAAAGAAAAGGCTGGAGATTTCCATATGTGATTGTTACTCTAATGCTGGGGCCTAGGAAGAGACAGGAGGATCCCAGAGACTTCCTGACAGTCAATCTAACCAAAAGGAAACCCTGCCGCAAAAAGAGAAAGAGCAGAGGGAAGACAGGAGCGATGGTACTGAAGGGCTGGAGCAATGGCTTCTTGGTTCACATCACCAACTCTTCTTGCAAAGAATCTGCAGTCAGTTCCCAGCTGCCACAACCACCTTCAGGTCCAGGTCTAGGGGATCCAGGGCTCTCTAGTTTCCACAGGCACACACGTGGTGTGTGCACATAAACTCACATAGGCATCCAGACATATACATAAAAAATAAATAAATCTTTAAAAATAGATAAGGTGGACGTGCCTAGAGAAAGACACGTGGTGTCCTCTGGCATCCGTTCACACACGCACGCGCACGTACACTCCACACCCAGAAAGATGAAATGAAAATAAATGCCACCAGCACCCACATGCTCTTCCTGCGGCTTTTCTTTGCCCTAGGTAAAGCGGAGGCGCCCTTGGGAGCAATTCTCCACCCAGCTTTGCCCTCCTGGTGACCTTTAGGTGTGCTCTACAAGGACTCCTGTCACCTCCCCAGTGGCAACTCTGGGCTGCTGCTTCCTGGGACCGTCTAAATGAGCCACGGCACTGCAGTCCTTGTTCCCAGGCCTTCTTCCAGGGATTCCAAACCAGCAGCCCCTTTCTCCCTGGCTTGGCCCTTACGTCATTTATTTCCTGAGCTTCTCCTTCTGGAAGGTTCTGTGACGTCATATCCCACCCATCGAGTACCACCATCCTTGGCTTGAGGGCTTCCTCCCCCTAAGGTCCTGGGCCTTCTTCACACAGCCTTCGACCTGCAATCGTATGTGGGCTTGTTTGACTTTGCTCTCACTAGAAACTATGACTTACTCGTCTTTGTAAACCAAAGCCTCAGCAGGATGCTTTATACAGAGTAGAAGCCCAATAAATATTTGACGAATGAATGAGTCCTCAAGCGTCGCCGATTTCCTGCGTAACTCTGCTCACAGAACGCAGTCAGAAGCCGTCTTCCCGGACCCACAGTCCTGGCCCGGGGCATTCTTCTCAAACCTGGAGAAGAGGTTAGGAGAACTCTGATGCTCCGCCCACAGGGCCTGCCCCTAAGATCTGAGAGGACCTGGACCCTCCCATTCCTTGCCGGGTTGGTCTCCTGGCTGCCTTGCCCAGGAATCCAGGGAGTAAATTGCAAGGGTGTGAAAGAAGCTACGCCTGAGGGCTAGCACAAACAGTGGGCCCACGTTATGAAAATGACTGTAGATAAAGACTCAGGCACCTAAAGGCCTTCAGTCCTCAAAGGGAGCTGCTGTGTTTGCAGTTTCTATCACTGGGTGGTGGTAAAACCCAAACTTGGTATCAGCTGAGGCTGGGTAAATAGCCCCAAGGGGGATGTGATCCTGTGGAGGCGTCCAAAGCAGTTGGTGGAGCCGCAGCTGCAGCTGGTTCACACACCCGGGTCCGCTGACTTTCTGGACCCAGCCTTGGGGATGTTTTAAATGTTTGCTGCCAAGGGAGACCTGATGCCCTCTGAAGACTTCCAGCAGTAGGAACCGATGGCATAGGCCCATCCCTGCAACAGGAGACTTCAAACAAACAAACCGAACCATGCCTCTGAGCCTGGAGAAGGAAAGTGGACCTTCCCTGCTGGGCAGAAAGGGAGAAGAACAAACAGCCTGAGGCATAGGAAATGGGGAGCCAGCAGGGCAAAGTGACCAGAGTTCAGCCATGCTGGCTGTGGGGGCAATAATGCAGAGCATAGCAAGGCAAATAATTAGGTAAGGGGGCAGGGGTTTGGCATTAGGGGCTGTCATGTGACAAGCAGGTGGCACTCATTTATCCCACAAACCAACCCTTTGAGCTCTTGTAGTTATCCTACAAATGAAAGAAAGAAAGAGACCCAGAGAGGTTAAATGACCCATCCCAGGCCTCCCTGCTAATAAGGAATGAAACCTAGGTCAAAATAATTCATATGCAATTCAATACAAAGCACATGATAGCTCTCACGGTTTGATTTAGGTCACGTGTCCAAAGTCCTACCTCAACACTGGGCACATGTTTTTTTCTCCTTTTGCTTTTGTAAGCGCCCTGCCCTTGAGTGCATTGGAAGGTAGACACTACAACTGCAGGGGAGGGAGTTGTCAGAACCAAGTCTAGAGCAGGGTCTAGTTCGGTGGGACAGCGCCCACCTTGCTTGCTTGGGGCCTTGGCTTCCTGTCCCAGAATCACGCATGCACGCAAGAACAGACTTTTGACTCAACTTTTGGGAAATCTCCAAAAAGAAGAGAGGAAGTGGGGGCAGGGTAAGGATGGCTTGCACTTCTACACTTGGTTAGGACCAGAAAGGCCCAGTGAGAGGCAGGGAGGGTGACGTACTACCCTACTTTCGGTTCTGAAGTCTGAAGCAGGAAAGCTGAGCTAGGTCACGAGAAAGCCTCTTACTGCTGTCCTAAGAGCCAAACACCAACGTGGGAGGAGAGTCCTGTCTGGAAAGCAGCGATTTCCCAAAGAGGCCTTGTTACTCGGTCGTAGGACTGTGCAGTTTCAAGGGTCGCGTTACGTGGCCTGCTGATGTTAATACCGATTAGTGAGACCCTGTCTCAAACAAACAAAAAGAAAGGGCTTGGAGGTATAGCACAGTTGGCAAAATGCTTGTCCTGGGTTCAATCCCTGCATAAACCGGACATGGCGTCCCATGGCTGTCATCTTAGCACTTCAGAAGGAGAGGCAGGAGGATCAGGAATTCACATTTGCAGCTAACCTGGGATGTAGAAGGAAAAACTAAAGTGAAAACGTAATCCTTGTATTTATCCCATTGGATAAATGACACTGGGCTTCCCAGAGAACTTTGTGTGCCAGGCACTGGGTTGGGCTCTTAGCATACTATCTGTAGATTCATCCCCAACATTATGAACCACGCTTGGCAATTCTCTTCTTACAGATGGGGACATTGAAACTGAGCAACTTGAAGGTCCACCGGGAAGACCAGAGCGGCAGCTTCACGCAACTTGGTATATATTCCCTCCACCACTACCACCGCGATGGGATCTCGTACAGCGCAGGCTGGCCTCAAACCTGGTAAATAACTGAGGCTGGATTGGAACTCTGCCCCCATCTCACCATAAAACCACTGGGATTACAGATGTGTGCTGCTACACGGGCTTTATCACTGTGTAGGCCAGCTTGGTCTACACAGTGAGGTCTAGTCAGCCAGGGCTATGTAGTGAGACCCTTTCTCACCCTCTTAGCTGCAAAATGTGAGCGTGACTAAGGAAAATATGTATAATTTTCTTTGACTGCTTAAACAGGGTCTACGTGATGGTTCGAGGCTACTCTGGTGCTGTCAGTGACCCACACCAGTTTCCATCATAGACGGTCTGTGTTTTAGGATTTATAAAGTGTTTATTGCCATGTGGTGGTGGCGTACACCTTTAATCCCAGCACTTGGGAGGCAGAGGCAAGCCGATCTCTGTGAGTTTGAGGCCAGCCTGGTCTACAAGAGCTAGTTCCAGGACAGCCAGGGTTGTTACACAGAGAAACTCTGTCTATGAGCAGAGATGCATATATATGAGGAAGAGTAGAGAGAAAATAGAGAAATTCCTTTGAACAATTTTGTCACTAAGAGTGCCATCTGGCTAAAGTCATCAGAACGCCGGAACATTCCCAGAGATTAGCAGCTGGCAGGTTTAACTTCAGAAAATGGACCAATTCACTGGCTTACCCATCAGTGGGATCTGGGCTGGGCTGTAGTCAGAAACACATACACTGTCCTGGTGAGCCATCAAGGCTGGAAAAGAATCCTTCTGCCCTCACCCCCTTTTAGTTAGTTTTTGAGGCACAGCCCTTGCTGGCCTGGAACTCACAAAGATCCTCCTGCCTCTATGAGTGCTGGGATTCAAAGTGTGACATCATGCTTGGCTTTTTTCTGGCCTTTTGGAAACTGACCTTGTTAATTAGACATTGACTGTCAGGGCAGAGGGACCAGGGTGGTTCCTTTAAAGAAGATGAGAAGGGACAGCAAGATGGTTGTGTAAATAAGGCCACTAACAGCTTGAGTTTCGTCACCAGACTCCACGTGGTAGGAGGAAAGAACTGACTCCCAGAGCTGTCCTTTGACCTCCATGGGTGGATACATACACAAAGTAAAAATAAATTTTAAAACGTATTTTTTTAATCACACACACACACACACACACACACACGTAAAGAAGCAGTACTCAGTGGGTACTGGCCTCCTTATTTGCCTGCTGCCAAACCTGATGACCTGAGCTCATTCCCTGGTTTCCACATGGTGAAGGAAATACAGTGAGTTTGAAGCCAGCCTGGGTTACAGAGGACCCTGTCTGAAAACAAACAAAAAGGTGTGGGAAACCTAGCTCAAGCAGGTGGTCCAGACAGCCTGGGAGGTGTGGTCTCGCCAAGTTAGCAATGCAAGGCTGCTGAGCCGCCCCATTCCCATTGATTACTCCAATTTTTATTTGCTTATGGTTTGGGGATGAACTGACTCCAGGGCCTTGGGTTGATTTTTTACTCTCAACCTACTTACTCCAATTTCTTAAGATTCCTTTTTAAAAAAATCTGGCTCTAGGCTAGCGAACTGTGCCAGAGAGTTTTATATCAACCTGACACAAGCTAAAGCCATCTGAGAGAAGGGATCCTCAATGAAAAAATGCCTCCATAAAATCAGGTTGTGGGCAAGTCTGTAAGCATTTTCTTAATTAGTGAATAATGGGGGAGGGCCCAGCCTATTATGGGTGGTGCCACTTCTGGGCTCTTGGTCCTGGGTTCTATAGGAACCAGGCTGAGCAAGACTTGGGGAGCAAGCAGTAAGCAGCACCCCTCCATACCAGGCTGAGCAAGACTTGGGGAGCAAGCAGTAAGCAGCACCCCTCCATACCAGGCTGAGCAAGACTTGGGGAGCAAGCAAGCCAGTAAGCACCACCCCTCCATGCCATGTTTGAATTCCTGCCCTGATGTCCTTCAGTGATGGATATGGAAGGATAAGCAGGATTCAGTCTTTCCTTCCCATCTTGCCCTTTGATCACGGATTTTCATCAAAGCAGCAGAAGCCCTAACTAAGACAGGAATAGAGCCTAGTGGTAGAGCTCTTGCCTGGCTTTCACAGGGCCCTAGATTCCATCTTGGGACACACAAATGTCATGTGATATCTACATGCTAAGGCAAAACTGATTGCAGACACACTGAGTGATGGAGGAAGGTCATTGGCTAATAAAGGAACTGCCTTGGCCCATTTTATTGGTTAGAGGATAGGTGGGAGGAGTAAACAGAACAGAACGCTGGGAGGAAGAGGAAGTGAGCTCAGACTCGACAGCTCTCCTCGTGGGGGCAGACAGCTCTCCTCGTGGGGGCAGACACCTCAGAGAGACGCCATGCCCCGCTCCTGGGCAGACACACGCCATGAAGCTCCGACCTAGGATGGACTAGGCTAGAATCTTCCCAGTAAGACTGGTTCTCACAGATTATTAGAGATGGGTTGATTGGTATATCAGAATTAGCCAGTAAGGGCTAAAGCTAAAGGACCAAGCAGTGTTTAAATGAATACAGTTTGTGTGTTGTTATTTCGGGGCATAAGCTAGCTGTGCGGGCGGCTGGGGTGCTGGGGACGCAGCCCCACCGCCCTTATTACTACAACTGAGGGAGGAAGGCTTTCAGGGCAGTTAGAGGTAGGGAGATCCTTAACCATTCTTAACCCCTTCTTTCTTCACGGGTTGGGGATGCAGCTCCGTAAAGTGTGTCCTTGCTGGCCACGGGCACAGCTCTGGGTTCAAGAAGTGGACACTGTTATTCTTTTTTAAAAAATGCTGCAAGATCCCCGGTGGCAGTAGGCAGCAGAAATGCTGTAGGTCCCAAATGGTGGCGGCGGGCCATGTGGCGGCAGACAGCGGGCCCTGGGAGCAGCCAGTCCCAGGCAGAGACGGCTGCTGGTCTCAGAGCAGTGGTGGCAGGCCATGTGGCAGCAGGCAGTGGGCCCCAGGCAGAGACGGCTGCTGGTCCCCGAGCAATGGCTGGTTCCAAGCAGGAAGACACATGGTAGGCGGGCAGAAGGCAGAAACATGGATAGACACGACATGCAGGGTGAGGTTGAATGTTTATTCAGGGGTTATGGAGGAGGAAGGGTGAAGGGGGGACAGAGAGAGAGGGGGAGAGAGAGAGAGAGAGAGAGAGAGAGAGAGAGAAGAGGAGAAAGAGACAGAGAAGGGGGGAAGCAGAGAAGTGGGGAGAGAGGCAGAAGCGAAGCTGCCTCTCTGAGAGTAAGATGGAAAAGAGAGAACGAGCTCAGGCCGGAAGCTGAAGATCAGCCTGCTTCAGCAGATGGGGAGGGGAATGAGTTTGGCTTGTCTCTTAAAGGGACCAAAACCATAACATTCCCAGGTCTTCCTTATGATAAAAAGGAGGCACGTCAAGGAAGCAGATCTCCTGGAACTACAGTTGCAGGCTGTTGTGAGTCACCCTGTGGGGGCTGGGGACTGAAGATGAGTCCTCTGAAGGGGCAGCAAGTGCTCTCAATTGTTGAGTGACCCCTCCAGCACTAAGCAAATTTTTGTTTGTTTTTCACAAGGCAGAGTTTCTCTGTGTAGCCCTGGCTGTCCTGGTACTCACACTGTAGACCAGGCTGGCCTCGAACTTAGAGATCTGTCTGCCTCTGCCTCCCCAGTGCTGGGATTAAAGGCTTGTAACACCACCTCCCAGCAGTAATTTTTAGTATGTATATTTCACTACCAAAAGGGGTCAGAGAAAGAGTCCTAAAAGCCTACTGCAGTTGACAGAGAATATTGGTCCAATGTTTTCCAACACCTCAGTGTGTTTGGGTCTAGAGTAAACATTTGACGCTAGTTTAAAGAAACATTTTTTGTGTACCTATTGGATATAATGCAGGATACAGTGGATTACATCAAAGATCTTGGCTGGGGCCATAGCTTGTGGCATGTGAAAGTTGGGGTTCAGGGGCTGGAGAGATGGCTCAGAGGTTAAGAGCATTGCCTGTTCTTCCAAAGGTCCTGAGTTCAATTCCCAGCAACCACATGGTGGCTCACAACCATCTGTAATGGGGGCTGGTGCCCTCTTCTGGCCTGTAGGCATACACACAGACAGAATATTATATACATAATAAATAAATAAATAAATAAAGAAAGTTGGGGTTCAATGCCCATCAGTGGAGGAAAAAAAGAAACCCAAGTAGAGCAATACCTCAGGTTTGTCTTTAGCGGATATGGTGGTCTACATCCTACAGCAGGAATTTCTTTTCTTTTCCTTTTCTCTTTCCCGCTCTTTCCCTTCTTTCTTTTTTTTCCTTTCTCTTCTTTTGTTTTATGTCTGTTTATTTGGGTTTTTTTTGTTTTTTTTTTTTGTTTTTTTTTTGTTTTTTTTTTGAAACAGTCTCTCTGTATAGCCAAGTCTGGCCCTGAACATAGTGATCCTCCTGCCTCATCCCTCTAGAGCTAGGATTACAGGCACAAGCCACCGTGTCTGGTCTATCCCTGTGGTTTTACATCTGAGCAACCTGAACCACAGTGAGGTTAGGTTAGCCTGATTCACAGCAAGGCTCCCAGATTCCAGAGTTTCTGCTTGTGATGGCCTTGGGGCAGATTTAGATAAGTTCCCTGTTTATTAAACAATGATCAAACCTCACTGAGAGAAAGTCACAAGAGGTTAGGGTCGGAATCCTCTAGAATGCAGCCCCACCCACTTTCACCAGCTCCAGGCAGTTTCCACGTGCTCCTAGACGGTTGTTCACTAGGCCCAACTATTTTTTTTTCTGACTTTCTATTTCCTCCTTCTTAAGCAGAAACTGCCGGATCTACCCAATTTGTAGCAAATGAAGATATTAGAGATAGTAGTCCGTGGACCTTCTTCTTTCCTCCTCCTCCTTCTCCTTCTGGTTTCTCCTACCTGGAACTTTCTAAGTAGACCAGACTGATCTTGAACTCATGAAGATCTGCCTCACAAATTATGGGATAAAAGGCATGCTTTTTTTTTTAATTTAAGCTTTTAAAATGTTTTATCTTGGGTTGGAGAAATGGCTCAGAGGTTAAAAGTATTGACTGTTCCTCCAGAAG